ACCTTTATGACAAACTTGTATTAAGAAGGTACTGTGAGAAATGGAAAAAAAGATGGAAGTCACGAAGTAGTGAACACAATTAAGATATATATAGATACATATATATATATATAAAAACAAGAAATTGCTTCTCTTATAGAAAATGGAAAACAAAAGGTAGACCACTAGTATTAAAAAACCTTCATAATAATTGCAAAATACATTTTACTCACACAACCTTTGAACAAACAGTATCAGCCAACAATGAAAGAGGATATCATAGCTAAACAGAATGCTGTCCAAGTGCTTCTTAGGAAAATCAGAAAGTGGGAAAAGAAATAACCAAACAACAATGTAAGCTTATTCATCAGGACGCAAAATATCTGCATGGGCATGGAGCCTATAATGAATTCAAACCAGTATGGTTTCTAGTCAGTCACATGGGGAGTGCTCAGTATGCACTATATTTCTCTGGAAAAGAGAGTTTTGTTAGAGTTAAATTATTAACAGAAAAAAAAAGCATGGTTTGCATAGTCTATTTCAAAATTATACCTGAACCTCCAGCAGCCTGGTTTCATCTAGTCTCCATTTCTTATATTTCTTTCTTTCTATTCCCATTTTTCCAATTCTCTCTCTAGTTAACCTCTGTTATTTCCATCGCATGCTACCAGTTTTTCCTCTTCTTCCATTGTGACTGTTTACAGCTACACCAGTCCATAAGTGGCTGTGAGTAATTATTTTACTTGGAAATTTTATTAGACCATAGAATCATTTTGGTTGGAAGAGATCATCAAGACCAACTATTAAACCAGCATTGCCAGGCAACTACTAAACCGTGTCCCTAAGCGCCACATCTACACGTCTTTTACACACCTACACAGATGGTGACTCCACCACTTCCCTGGGCAGCCTGTTCCAGGGCTTTACAAACCTTTCTGTAAAGAAATTTTTCCTAAAGTCCAACCTTTCCTTGGTGCTACTTGAGGCCATTTCCTCTTGTGCAACCACTTGTTACTTGGAAGAAGAGACTAACATCCACCTTGCTACAGCTTACTTTCAGATAGCTGTAGAGAGCAAGAATGTCTCCCCTAAGGCTCCTCTTCTCCAGGATAAATGACCCCAATTCCCTCAGCTGTTCCTTATAACACTTGTGCTCTAGACCCATTCCCCAGCTTCACTGCACATGCTCAGCACCTCGATTTCCTTCTTGTGGTGAGGGGCACAAATCTCAACACAGTATTCAAGGTGTGGCCTCACCAGTGCGAAAGGCATGGGGACAATCACTTTCCTAGTCCTGCTGGCCACACTATTTCTAATACAGGCCAGGATGCTGTTGGCCTTCTTGGCCACCTGGGCACACTCCTGGCTCATATTCAGCTGGCTGTTGGCCAGCATCCCCAGGTCAACAGCTCTTCTGGCTCTCCAGCTGCTCTTCTCTGAGACCGTAGTGTTGCATGGGGTTGTTGTGACCCAAGTGCAGGACCTGGAGCCTGGCCTTGCTGAACTTCATACCACTGGCCTCGTCCTGTTGATGCAGCCTGTATAGATCCCTCTGTAGACCCTTTCTACACTCAAGCACACACCCACCTAACTTGGTGTTGTCTGCAAACTTGCTGAAGGTGCACTCAATCTCCTCATCCACATCACTGATAAACACATTAAACAGAACTGGCCCAAATACTGACCCCTGGGGAACACCACTCATGACCAGCCATCAACTGGATTTAACTCCATGCATCACAACTCTTTGGGCCCAGCCATTCAATCAGTTTTTTACACAGCAGAGAGTGCACCCATCCAAGCCATGAGTAGCCAGTTTCTCCATGAAACACTGGGAGAACACAAGACACTGTGGGAAACAGTGTCAAAAGCTTTACTAATGTCTAGGTAGACAACAACCACAGTCCTTCCCTCATCCACTAAGCAAGTCACCTTGTCACAGAAGGAGATCAGGTTAGTCAAGCAGAACCTGCCTTTCATGAACCCATGCCAGCTGGGCCTGATCACCTGGTAGTCCTGTATGTGCCTCGTGATGGCACTCAAGACAATTTGCTCCATAACCTTCCCTGGCACCAAGGGCAGACTGACAGGTCAGTAGTTCCCTGGATCCTCCTTCCAGCACTTGTAGATGGGTGTCACATTTGCTAACCTCTAGTCCACCGGGATCTCCCCAGCTAGCCAGGACTGCTGAGAAGTGATGGAAAGTGTCTTGGTGAGCATTTCTGCAAACACCCTCAGTACCCTACTGTGGATCCCATCTGGCCCCAGGGACCTGTATGCATTTAAGTAGTGTAGTATGTCACTGAAAATTTCCCCTTGAGTTATGGGGGCTTCATTCTGCTCCTCATGCCTGTCTTCCAGCTCACAGAGCTGGGTACCACAAGAAAACTGGTCTTAGTATTAAGGAGTGAGGCAAAAAAAGCATTCAGTACCTCATCCTTTTCCTCATCCTTGGTCATTAGGTTTTCCCCCTGCCTCCAATAGAGGATGAAGATTTACTTTGGTCCTCCTTTTGATGTTGATGTATTCATAGAAACACTTTTTATTGTCTTTTATGGCAGCAGCTAGACTAAGTTCTACCTGGGCTTTGGCTTTTCTAATTTTCTCTCTGTACAGCTTCACTACATCTCTGTAGTCTTCCTGAGTTGCCTGCCCCTTCATCCACAGGCCATAAACTCTCCTTTTCTTCCCGAGTTCCATTCAAAGCTCTCTCTTCAGCCAGGACAGTCTTCTTCCACACTGGCTCATCTCACTGCACACCAGGATGGTCTCCTCCTGTGCCTTTAAGATTTCCCTCTTGAAGAACACCCAACCTTCCAGGACTCCTTTGCCCTTCAGGATAGTCCCAAGGGACTCTCTCAACCAATCTACTGGACAGGTCAAAGTCTGCCCTCTGGAAGTCCAAGGTGGTAGTTTGACAGATCCTCTTCCTTACTTCCTCAAGAACTGAAAACTCTTATCTTTTCAAGATAGCTGCGCCCAAGATGGCCTTCAACCATCACATCACTCACAAGTCCTTCTCTGTTCACAAACAGCAGGTCTAGCAGGGAGCCTTCCCTAGTTGGCTCTCTCTCAGCAGCTCTGTGAGGAAGTTATCTTCCACATACTGCAGGCACCTCCTAGACTGCTTCCTCCCTGCTGTATTGTATTTACAGCAGACGTCTGGTAAGTGAAGTCTCCGACGAGAACAAGGGGTAGCAATTTTGAGACTTATCCCAACGGCTTAGAGAATATTTCATCTGCCTCATGATCCTGGCTGGGCGGTCTATAACAGACTCCCACCATGATATCTGCCTTGCTGGTCTTCCCCCTGATTCTTACCCATAGACACTCAACCATCCTCACCCTTATGCTCAAGACAATCAAAGTACTCCCTAACATACAGGGGTCTACCCCACAATCATATAATACAGCCCACTGACCATGCATGAAAAAGGATGTACTTCCCATAGTCAGTACCTGGGGAAGATGCCAGGATTCTAGTCCATTACAGAAGCAGTCCTTTGAGAGACAATGTATTAAATTGAATATGTATTTACTGTTAAAGTTCTTCTCATAACCAGCCCAAGAATCTTCTACTCATCAGTCCACGACATTTGTACCATACTACTCAGATGTTACATTTTATTTACACCACTCCAGATCTTAAATTCTCTGCTGGAAGAAAGAGGAAACAGTGTTTTTCCTTCTTTCAGCAGACCTTTCAGACTATCAATATGATCCTCGACATTTGCCATTTTAAACTTCCCCCAGAGCACCCGAATGAAACTGATTTCTCTTAGTTTTACTGACTAGATAACAGTGCTTTCAACATACGCAGGACAACCAACATGTAATAGAAAAGCCCTGAAGAGCTCTACCTGCAGCCTTAATGTTTGGTTTATACTTCATTTATATTTTAGAACAGGTACTAGAATACTGTCCCCAACCAAAACAGTCTGGACTGTCAAGAGCATTCATTAGCAAAAGGGCCCTGGTCCCAGGGATGTCTGAAGTGGAATAAGAACAGGAAGGGAGATGGAATGGAGAAGTATCACACCTAGTCACCCTCTACCGCAACAAGAACACTTCCAGTGCTACCTGTCCATAGAAATTCATACAGAAGAAAGTTTTCCATCTCCACTCTGTAAGCTGGCAGGGACAAGAAAATGTGAGGGAAATAACTCAAATTTAAACATTTGTCAGCATTTGTTGTGGTTTAGACCCAGCCAGCAGCTGAGCACCACATGGCTGCTCACTCACCTGCCCCCACCCCCAAAAGGGGAAGGAGAAAAGGGAGGAAAATACAAAACCCTGTAGGTTGAGTTAAGAAGAATTTAATACAACAATGCAAAAGAACACATAAACAACCGTAATCAACATAACAGTAATAAAACGATATATAAAGCAAGTGATACAAAGGCAGACCACATTAGCTCTGAACAGCAAGGTGATGCAACCCTGCACCACCCATCAAGACCACACACCCAGCCCAGCCCTTTGTGCCGTGGGTGTGATGTCAGTGTGGTTATCAAATAACCTATTGGCTAGTTCCATTGTCTGTCCCAGCTCCCAGCTTCCAGTGAAAATTAACACTATCCTAGCCAAACCAGGAACGCACTGTATATATTGCAAATGGCTACTTTTACCGTAGCACAAACAAAAATAGAGGAACTAAAAGAAATCCACTCTTGATGTATTTCTCTTTAAACATACAAAACTAGAATAAATTTATAAAGCACAGTTGAATAAAATACCTTGTACATCTCTGCTTCAATTTGTTGATGAACACCTACATAACTCTTCTTAACTTGCTGCTTATCTTTGATCATCATTGTAAGCCTGTGCAACGGCCCAGAATTAAGATCCTCTGCATGTGTCTTCATTATTTTGCTCAGCTGTTCTGTTTGCTGTACCACAAGCAACCAAGACTATAAAAAAAAAAGTCAGAACACAAAAGCACTTACTTATTCTGGCTTGAAAATCATCAAATGATAAATGTGAACTGTGAGAAAAGATGCAACACTGCTTAAAACCATCAGTAAAAAAGCAATTTTAAACTTACCCAAATGCACTTGAGATCTTCCAAAACAAAATTCTTCCTGCTACAGTGAAATCATGCCTCAAACTTACTCAAAAAAAATCATAAAAAAAGCACCAGGGACAAAAATACAATATTATGTGTTCACCCCTCAGCACTGTCCTAGTACTTCCGAACACTGATGAAAGTTTTATAGCCTTTTTTGGAACATCCCTGACGAGCATATCCCTGTGGCCTTGGTTCTCCTGTTTCCCAGCCACAGTTGCTCTTTCAAGCTGACTTCTCTGTCCTTGTCTAAATACCTCAGAGTAATAATGCATCTGAGTGGTAGTAGTGGTCACTGTTTAAGAGTTCCACTCATCAGCTGCGTCGCACGGCTGACAGCACCAGCGTGAGGCCACTGGTACCAAAGCACAAGGTGCTAACAGGGTAAGAGATGCAAGCACTTACATGTCTGTCATAGCAACCCAGCATCTTTCGATACCATTACTCTACTAACTTCACTGGCCTTCTGTCAGTCAAGTTTTATGACAGCTTAACATGCTGTTTCTGGGCCTGAATTCTGATGAAGAACTGCAAGGTCAGCAGAGAGACTTCCACTGCACCACAGACTCGAACAAAATTAAAGTTCAGTTCAAATAAATGCATTTGCTACCCTAAAGATCTCCATCACACTTTGCTGATGGGAACAGTATTGGATACCTCAGACATAACTCCCTGACACTGAATACTATGCTGTATCTAAAATGTTAGAATAGCTAAAAACCACACAATTAGCATGTTTTGAAGATAGCTGGTATGGTAATTTCACTCCCATTTATCCTACTCTTAATGAAGACAAAAGTCCACCTTAGATCATCAAAATGTAGGAAGGTAATTTGTTTGGTAGCTTTGGGGTTTTCTTAAATCTCGTATATAAACATGTATACATAATTATTTTCACCTCTGCATGACAATGCTGCAACACAAACTAGATTCAAGAGAAGGAAACAGCAGACAGTTAGCTACTGTATGTACTAAACAATCTTTAACATTTCCTTTAGCTCATAAACATTCCACAGCCTGACACAGAGCAATCTCAGACTGTATGAAGTGTGGCAATGTAAAAGTCATGGCCTAAACCTTCCCAAGCTATGGCTGAAAACTGTATCACCTCTCTACTACAGAACACTTTCCAAATTACATCAGAAGCCCTATTGTAAAGCTGTATAGAATAAAAACATCATTAAACATCTGCCTGAGAGGACTGGGTTCTGTGGCTATAGTAGAATTCCTAAGAGCACTCTCAGTAGTGAAAACGTAGTCAGAATTCTCAATTTTCCTTAAGGCTGGTTTATTACTGATGAGACAAGTACTGTTTCAATCAACCCTGATTATCACAGAAAAAGCATTTTTCAACAGGACAAGTACTCTAAAGAAATACTTAGCTTACAATTTGATGAATTGATCATTGGCCAAGTGAACCTGCATAAGCCAGAAACATAGCAAAAACATTCCTTTAAAAAAAAATAATTTGCACATTTTCCTGTTCTTTACATCCTTCTTTCCATACTGAAAAAAAAAATTGGTTTAACAGGATTTCTGTGTTTTATATTGTTATATTTTACTATTTTGAAATAGGAAAAGTTAAAGTGAAAAGCTATACTTGAGCAAAGGCTTCAAAAATTGAGATTTATATGGAACAGAAAAGCAACCAGGTGGGGACAGCAGAAAAGGTAAAGCATTTCCTTTCATAGAAAATAACCACAAAAGCAATAAAATACAATACTGTTTGGTTTAATAGCATCTTTTAGAAATATACATGTACAAAAGAGCTGTTACGAAGCACTTCAAAAAAAGTAGACCTATTCTAGCATTAGCAGTTGCTGCCACTATGATTTCCAGCAAGTTTGGTGCCTCTCCATGAGAAAAACATAGGGCAGATTTTCCCAAATAGCATTTCCCTCCAAGTGCTCTTTCTTTCTCTACTCTTTAATAAATAAATAAAGAAGTAAACAAGAGCTTGTGTAGCTTGGTTTTGATGCCACATAATACTCAAAATCTAACATAGAGGTATGTTAAATCTTAGGCTATCTAAGATACTAGATTTACATCCCATAATATTTGGGTTGTGCTTTTATTCTGTAGAATCTCAAGGAGAGAAGAAGTATCAAGAAATAGTAAAGTAAATTAGAATGAGGGGACATTTTAACTGCCAAAGCCAGTAAGACAATCTGTCACTACATGACTTCAAAATCCAAGGGGGCAGTGAAATTCTAAGGCAAGCCCACACAAAAGATCTGCCAGTAGCATATGAATATTTCTGCTGTTTTATCAAGATGTGGAGATCAGGAATGGGGCTTGAGAGAAAAATGGCACCTCCTTAAGAGTAATGGTACCTCCTTAAGTGAAATTACAAAGAAAAATGAAACAAAAGTAATCCAGAAAGACCAACTTGAGTGCTCATGTCCAAGACAAGATTTCAAAATGTGACACACACACCTCTCTTCAACCTAAAAAGAATATGCCTTAAGTCAGAGTTTCAGCTTTTAAAAATTCATTTGCTCACAGGAAGTGCCCATGTCACTGACATGAACCATTCCAGACAGAGCTTAAAGGTCACTTAGGCCTTAGAATGCTTGAATATTCTGGCGTCAATGCTTCTTCACTGTTCTAGCCCTAATCTGCTCTGTTTCATCGCTTAAAAAAACTGCAAAACAGTTTATGACCACACAAGAGCAATTCTAGTGGGGCAGCAATAGCAAGGGTTATTAGTCACATCACCAATAATTCTACACAAAACTTTGGGATTCAGCAGTAGAAAGCTTGAAGAAAATACCTGACTTCTGCCAGCTGTAGGTTAATGACAATGCTTTAATATTTATTCACCAGAATTATCACAAGTTACATAACAAATTCTGTAACAAGCTGTGTATAAGACACATAACTAGGTGAAAATAATTTCAAATACACCACCAAAACAAACATGAAAAAAATGGTAATGTGCCAATTTACAAGACAACTCCTTCTTGGGGAGGGAAGCAACAATAGAGTTTGTTGTAGATAAACACTGTGCAGTGCTGCTTTCGGGGCAGCTGAAACAGGCTAGCTACAGCAGCACAGCTTTCCAGTTACAAAGAGCAGTCACAATCCTAATGCTATGCCACAGATAGTATTCAGGCAGCCACCCCATAAACCCACCACAGAAAAACTGCTTCATCTAAAATTTAACTTGACCCAAAAAGGATGTTTTCCTGCAGAGAAGAGATCAGGAGTCATGACAGACTGAAGGGGCTGTGTAACCACTGCTAGAGCAGAAGGCCCAGGAATTAAATAAGGCATTAAATCAGAATGGTTTTCTTTAGTCAGAAAGAAATCCACATCAAGAGTGAAGCTTACAAACAGGTGAAACAGGGAAGTTTGCTTCATTGGCATCTTTACTGGACTTGCTCTAAACATGAAAATTATTATTTGGGGGAAGGACAGCCTTACCTTTACAAAAAGTCAATACAGTTATTTTAAATTGGACACAAAATAACTTCACAATTATGAGAAACATCCTGAAGTAATGTTCTGTTTTCACAGCACATGCTGCAGCGTGAATAACAGCTGGAATGTCAGGCTTTGCCTTGGTTTCCTGGTATTTTTCTATTTCTGTCACAAATTCTATATAACATAAACAATACTTCCTATTCAACAGTCTTAAAAGAAAAGCTTACTATAGCATACTCTATTTTCAAACCACTAAACAAGGTAGCAGGCTCAACCAAGGAACATAAAATACTGAACTTCAGAATTCAGGATTGATTCTAGTTTGTTTATTATTTTCAAAGCAAGGCTGGAGCTCAACTTCTATATATTGCACTGAGGAACGAAAAGGAGCCCATTTTAAATACTTTGGCAACATTAACTCCAAGAAGATGAATGAACAGGAATCCAGCTCAAACAAACAAAAATAGCACTGTTATTTTGAAGGATATTCCAAAATCAGAATACGTTTTAATCTTACCTTGGACACATTGCTGATATAATCCAATTGACAAGTGCTCTCTTTATCTACTTGATTACAAAGATTCTGTAAAGTGGAGGCATACTCCTTATCACTTTTTACTCGCATTACCATGAATTTCTTGACCGTTTCCAGCAGTCGTAGTTCCCAGTCTTGCAGTTTTATTAAAGCATCATGAGAATACTTCAGTTCACCTCCAAACCCCATTTTTTAAGGCACTATATACCGCACAGGGGAAAATACAGTCTCTTCACCACATCTGAAAGCAGAACAATATTCATAAGACAAATATCAAAAGAAAAGCTTCTCATGTCACAAGGAAGACCTATTAATGTCTATTACCTGAAACAGTTTAACTGTTAAGATTAACCACATACATACACCTCCTCAAAATAAACTGAAAGGAGGGTCAGAGCACTGTTTTGAGCAGCCATCTATGACTAGAAGAGATTTTAGGCCCAAAACTGTCCACCAGTTTCCATGTGCAAAATGTACCTCCCTAACTTAAGGCGGAGTTATGAGGAAACACACAAAAGCATCTAAGACAGCTGCTGAAGATGAGTCCATATATGTAATTAAGTACAGCCAATGCTATCTCTAGACAAGAGCTGGCAACTACACAGTTCCACAGCTGGTGATCTGAAACACTTGTTTCTGGTGTTTACTGTCCCACAGCACATAAAAACTCAAATAAAACATCAGCTCTCAGGCACTGCATCCACTGGAAATGGGTGACTAGTTAGAAGTTAGTCTGTTCCTAAACACTGTTTTAGCAGGCCATTAAACATGCAGATTTCAACCTCCCAAAAGTCAGAAAAGATCCCAAACCAAGTTTGTCATGTAACCTTCCACTGCTCCCCTGCAACTCACATTAGGGCAGAGCCCTTAAGTTCACAAGATTTTCCCCTAAGGCAGTCCAGTCTTACTGTACCAAAGGGACACCATTTGATGAACAGGTAAGAATTGCTGCCTTTTGAAATCCTGTAACACAACCTCGGGTCAAAGACACTTCTTTGAGCTAGCTCTAAAACACCTGCATCTGATACTGATAAAACACGCAGCCACATCGCGGAAGATCTGAACCCACACATATGACTAATATCACACACTTGCATAGGTTTTGTAATGGGGGCTGCATCCTCTTTTTCTCTGTATACACCAAAAACCTGCTCCGATACTAATCGCCTTCAAACTAGGCAAGATAAACTTACATAAGCTGTGATTAGAGCTCTGGACTGCAGTGCAGACCCAGCCTCTGTACTGCTTATTGACCAGTTCTTGCACTCCAGCCAAGTCTTAGCTCTCCTGAACTCAGAGTTATCAATTTCTTCATAGGCTTTAAACTGCCACTTAAACTAGCAGTGTTTTACAAACATTAACAGATTTACCTTCCTAATAGCTCATGGGGTGAAGCAGGACTAAAAATCTTACTTTTACATAGACAACTGAGATACAGAAACTAATGTCAACATAATACCAGCTAATACTGTCGTTCACAAGGCTTACAGAGGCTTTTCAGAGTGCCTAGCATTTTTAGCCTATTAAGCATCTAGGGGGAAAAAAAAAAAAAAAAAGTTATTGGCTCCAGTTACCACACAAATTTCCAGCAAATTTTGCAAATCAGAACCTAGAGCAAACTCCCGGAGCGTTCCTCTCTTCCTGCAACTCCCTGCCTCCATCAGCTCTCCCAGTAACTTACGGAACTAAGCCTCATCCACTACATGTTTATTCTCAGAACACAAACCATGCTACGTAATGAAAGAAACAAAGAGCTCATAAAAAAAACAAGAATAGTGTTGTGTTACTACACAATAGAGAGAAGTCCAGGTTGTATGAGTAACCTTATATCTGCTGCTAGCTTTCACATGCTCTTTAATTTAAAATTGTATATTTTAGTCAGAATACTTGCTCTTGCTGATGGCTAGGAGCACAGCCATAAAGAGCAATGGTGAATAATTCACACTGGCTGTATCTATATAGGATGGAGTATGTCATTATTAGTTGTATTAACGATAACATTTTTACAGTTAAAATGTAGACAACAGTCTTGAAAATCCACTAATATTTTAGTAAGATGACCAAAGGCAAAGATCTCAAAGCACCTACTTAGTAACATGACTGAAGCTGCCCTTCTGATTTTTCAACACCCTTTAGACCTTGACCCACTTTAGTGATCAAGCTCATTTTTAACCCTAGCACATCTTACCACATTACCTAAATATCCTAGCACATTAGCTATGAGAAAATACAGTAGCTTTATTTCTTACAGTCCAGATTCAGACGAGATGGGAACTGAACCTTAGGATGAAGTCTGGCCTTGTGCTATGAGTAAAGTGCTGGCTTTCTTGCTTTTATTCTAACCTCTGTCTTTTACTGAGAGGCAGGAAGGCAAAGGAAGGAAGAAACACTCTCAGAATATGATATTTCCATCTGCCTCTATTGACTCACTGTGGAAGCCTTAAGATTACAAAAATCAATAGAACAGAAGATCCAACAACATCTCACTACAGCCTTCTAAGCCTCCCTTCACTAAGTAGTAATTAGATTTTTTTTTTTTTCTGGATTACACTATTAGATGCCTGGGTACACAAAAATTGTACATATACTGGACCTCGGTCTTCGCTTTGCATTATTCCATTCACTGTGACAGAAGCAGCGCAGCAAGAATTTCTTTTGCAAATGTGATAACACCCTAATTTGGTAACTAGCAAGCATGAAGTCTTAGAGCTAATGATTCCTGACCAGGTAAGCCAGGCTCCATACGCCATCCTTAGGAATTAAGAAAATGTCCAAACAAGACATTCAACAAAACTCAAATGCTCCAGTATTGCAGAAGCAAAGAAGTTGTGAACAAATATCCAAGACCTAGGCCACTTAACTGTCGATAGCTAAACCCCAGTGCTTTTAATTAAAAACCCTTTTAATTTTTTTAACAGCTTTTACACGTTAATACTTCTAAGCCACTGGAGATAGTACAGATCAAACAGTCACTTACTTGAAGTCAAAAATGTAAAAAAAACCACATGAATAGACATGTTCTATGTGATCTGTACTTTAAATACACTTAAAAAGCACAAGCGCATTTCAAAAGGCCAATGTTCAAAGAGAAAACATGCAGCACCAGCAGAGACAGGTATTTCTCCAAGTTTGACTATCTCCCTGCTTAGTCTGCAGATGCGTTGACAGCTGCCCTACAGGAGTGAGACCAGCAGAATAGAATATTTCATTCAGAAGGGATCTACAACGATCATCTGGGCACAATAACCTATTTAGATCAGCACTCTGCCTCCAACCATGGCACCAGCAGATGCTGTTCAAGAACAGCAGACAAGTTCAGCTGCTATTTGTGGTGTGACCCTCCTTGTGCTTCCCCATGTTCACAGCTACTGGATTATGGAGGAAATAAATAGCCCCACTTTTGGCTTTACTATGCAACGTTACAACGCTTGCATTGAATATATAAGACAAGACAGATTCCACAAGACTGACTTTGCAAGCTTACACTTCTAGCAAAATTTGGATTAACACAACAAAATCTGAACCCAGAAATTATTTGCTGTGGAACCAATAGGAGATAGGAGTTTGAGAGACAAACATACTTTCTACTCCAGTGCTGAAAAGATGAAAATACAGTGTGAAAGATATTCAGGGAGGAGGCAGGGGGTGGGGGACCTTTCTCAAAAAACCACGGGAGAATATTTTATCTTAAAGGAAAAAAACACCGATGACATCATGTTTTAAAGTAGCCAGATGGAGAATTGATGACAATGAACACATGACATGCTAAGTTCATAGAGAAAAAAACCTTCAGCAGTTGGTTACTCTTACTGTGAAGAGATCTCTTCCTACTTCGGCAGATAAACATGAGGTTTGTCTTCTTCCACATAGGAACACTACTTGCATAATTTGATACACCAGTGAAGTTTCAAACTGGATTCTAGCATGTTTTGTAAAAGTAATAAAATCCCAGTGGCATCAAATACGACAAATGAGTTTCAGCTAGTTTATTTTTGTATTTTGAAATTTTACATATATATGTGTGTGTGTATTACTATAAAAATCACTGGAAATGCAAATTAGTTAATACTTTGTAAGCTTTCACAGTTACAATCCATCTCAGAGCCAATTCCAATAAAGTAAGATTGTTTCTTTTTCATGTCACTCTCAAAATAACAAACTAGTCACTGACAAGAAGTAAATGCTCAACGTGCATTGAATTATATAGAGAACGAGCAGCTAGACCTTGAACAGTTTTAAATCTAAGCAAAGTAACTGAAGACAGTTTATGACGTGTCTCAACCACCGCCACCACAGCAGTGCAGACAGATTCCAAATGAAGTAATGTTAAATTTTGTCAGCATGACAGTGAGAATCTTCATTGACAGTCACGTCATTCTTCAACACTCTAGTATTCCCCTCAGAAAAAAGAAGGCAATATTACAGCATTAACAGCCTTCCTGGATTCTGACAACAATCGTGAAGAAAGTAGTTTTCACAGCCAATTTACATTTAATTTAAAGATTGTAATCTGTCCCTGACACATGAAAGTGGCCATATCGTATCAGATCAAAGGTCCTGTGTGTCTGACAATGACCAAAATCAAATGAGCTGGGAAGAACAAAGTACACGTGTAGCTATACTTCCCCAGTATGCTCTCCTACCCTTATAACAAAGGTTGTCTTCTGTCATATATTGCCATGAAATAGAACCAAGACTGTGATTGCTGACCTTTATATTGCCATGAAATAGAACCAAGACTGTGATTGCTGACCTTTAAGTAATGACGGACCCACATGCGTCAGTTGGAACTTGAGGCAACGTGTAAACCAAACCAGAAGCATGCTGGGCCCACAGTTCAGTCCAGAACAGGATGGCACAGCTTACATTGGGCCCCTCCAGGGGAAATATGGAAGGGGCACGGTATGCAGAGAGCATCACACTCACTTTCTACTCAGATCTACTGTGAAATCCCTTGCTCCTGAATCTGTCACGGGCTCCAAATCACTTAGCACGGCTTATATTTTGCTGACCCTTTCTAGAAACTTTGAGAATACTGACAAATCAGAAAAGAAAGAGAACTTGGATTCAAGAGACAAATGCTCAGATTCCAGGCTTCTATACTGATGTTTCAATTGGATATTAGGAAGAACTGCTTTACTGAAAGAGTGGTGAGGCATTAGAACAGGCTGCCCAGGGAGGTGATGGAGTCACCATCCCTGGAGGTGTTCAGAAAAATGTATAGATGTGGCAACTGCGGACACGGTTTAATGGTCGTGGTAGTGTTGGGTGATTGTTAGACTTGATAATCTTGGAGATCTTTTCCAACCTTGATGATCCTATGATTTAAAAACAAGTTTTTGACAGCTGATCCATTTCTTAGACAGTCCATCTCAATTTCTGCATGTGAGGCTTACAGTACTTACATTCCACTAAAGCAACAAAATAAATAATTTTTAGCCCTCGACTACTGAAACAAAAATTACTGTTAAACAGTTGACACTTCTGTTAGTGTAGGATCCACTCCTGGAACGTACGTGAACATGACACATAAAACATGTGCTTTACCTAACATGTGTTTACAACCATATATTTAAAATATTATGTATATATGCATTTGATGCAAAATATATGGAACATGAACTAGCTAAATTAATGATTCCATAAAGCTATTACCACCAATAAATATCCAAAGTGGTAATCTAAAGCTAGCCTTATCGTTTCAAAACTGGTCTAAAATATTAGTCCATTGAAGTCAAAATACATAGTTAATTTTCACAAAAAAACTTTTTGTAAAGCTTTTCTGCAAAACATAGCTTACATACCTTAGAAAATTTTCCTCAAGAAATGATCTGTAGTAAACTTGTCTTTGTGTCAGCAGCTACTTCTTATTTTCACTTTCTGAAATATAATTTTATTTTCAGGGGACTCTGTGAAAGAAAAACATGTCAAACTTTTATTTTAAATTATTTCATAATTTTAAAATACATTGCAAAACTTAACCCAGGAAAGTTGTTTTGCGTTTTCAGATTATCACCAGGAGACACTTATTTTTCAAAAAGAGACAGAGTTCAAGAAAACCAAAAAAGCAGACTTCTTAAATGACTGCAAGTAGTAGTATACTATCACTTCATACACACAGTTTTGAGGGAAGAAATAATTTTGTCTCTACAAATGTAAACAAATCATTTTAAGTTCTTGGAATTTCTTATGAAAAGTCTATTATAGTTGCAAAATTTAAACAATTCTATTTATTTATGAGCTTTGCTCTTGATAAAACAAAAAAGAAGTCCATTAATAAGGAAAACAAAAGTATGAAAGACCAGACTTCATTACATGAGTGACAAACTTTAGTAGCAGTATTTTCCCTAGACTGTTGGAAAGCAAGTGTCAACATGAGAAAGGAATCAATCAAGGCACAGAAAATTCTTGGCTCAAATTACTCCAATATCTAGAATAGTAAGAAGTCAAAAAGCTAAGATGATTGCAGCAATAAAATTTCAAACTGTAACTCTGGACTGCCACCTAGAACAAAACTGCAGCAGAAGAGTGGTTCTTTGAGGGTTTATACTCAGGAAAAAAAAAATTATATAAAATATAAAAAATAGTAAGAAACAAGCTTTGAATATATCTTGCAAGTGCAAGGTTTACCATGTAAGCTACATCTGGACCACTGTTAAGAGTTCATTCACAATCTCGTACTAGAACGGCTCATCTGAAGTTAAATCTTAAAATGAGATATTCAGTATTAGTTAGCAATGCCCTTATAAGAAAAGACACAATCAAGCAAGACCAAAAGACAGGCACAGTGTATAAGGGTAAAGAAAACGAAACTATTTTCAAGATCTCTATTATTTAAAACAAAGCACTAATCATGGACACATTCATAAAACCTTACAAAGGGATAGTTTTAGCTCATATTCCAGCTGCCGTTATTTAGTATTCCTTTCTTGTTATTTAGTGACATTCTAGAAACAAAGTCCTGCCTAATATAAATACAAAACTTCCATTCTCCATGACCAAAAATAGAAAAGACTGTAAGTGATGCTTACATTCAGTTACTGCAAAGACACAGCAGCTATGCAAGCAGATATGAAAGGAGAAAAAAAAAATGCAGCAGGCTAGAAGCGTCACAAAACTGACAACATTTTTGAGATACAAAAATACTCATTGCAAAGTTGAACAACCCAAGAGAAAGTCTTCAACAAAAAATTGCAAGCAAGAGCAAGACATTATAATAAATTTGGCTCTAGTCCTTCCATCACAAATACAAACCAGCTGGAAACACCAGAGTATCAGTGGACACACTGTTACATATACACTGGAGCACTATTTTCAACCCCTTTCCTCATTCAAGTGGGACTTGAGAAAGTAAAACACATACTGCCACCAGCATTTAGGCACATTCAGATTTCAAAAGGTGTTAAGGAATAGAAATGGTAAAATGAACCATTTCTGAAAATTCCACTATTAAATGAAACAACAGCTTCAAGCCACTTAAAGGCACACAGGCTGTACCCTCTGCTCTGCGCTCACAGACAAAAAGCACACCTTTTTCTGATGAGCCACTCCATCATACAGGAGAGAACAGAGAATTTTATTTGTCGATATAAAAAATAAAACATAAACCAAACTTTCTTCAGAATTCCAATTACTACAGACTCTTTAGCTATGTGCATATTTCCATCTGCATACAGGTCATTATCAGAATTTAAAACTGGTAATCCAAGTCCAATACTGGTCTAACTGATAGGCATCTAGTAGCTAGTACACGGAAGTATAATAAAAGCTTGTCAGTAAACCACAGAGCCATCTGTGAGAGAGCAACAAAGTGTTACAGAACTCCTGTTGCTATTTCTGAGCTTAAACATAATAGAATCTGATACTTACAGATAGCCTGCTACCTCGATGCAATAAACCACTAGATGAGAAAGATACAATAGAAAGAACTAAAAGATGGTAAAGATAGAGCAGAAAACCTACATGATCTGTTGCTTTCAGAAATTACCGACGAGACAGTCCAAGCCAATCCCACACCAGATTCTCACGACATATAAGGCATTCTCTCAAAAGGGAAGCGTCAGAGGAGCATTTAAAAATATCAAAGTAATAGTGAAAATTTACCAGATCCAAATACTATTCAGCTGAAGTGTTAAAAGCCTCAGATATGAAATTGTCAAGCTATTACTTCTGCAAAAACTTAGGCTTAAGGTGACATAAGCAAAGAGGAATGGAGAGTGGAAAATGCATCAAACTTTTTCATAACTTCACAAGGCAATCAGGAGAAGCACAACAAAGACAGTCTGATTTCTACACTGTGCAAAGCAGTTGAAATCATGCTGAAGAATTTGTAGACCAGAATAACAGAGAGGAAAAAAGAAAAAAAAAACACAACAAGAAAAAAAAAAAAAAAAAAAAAAAAAAAACAGCTTTTGTAGAGGAAAATCATGCATTGCAATTTGAAGAGTTCTCTGAAGGAATCAAAGACCCTGTGCATGTTTGAATTGGTAAAGACTTCTAAAAAGTTTCTGCTGATGTCTTTCATAGGAAGTTGTTAGAGAAGTGAAGAACTTCCAGGGTAAGATTTAAGAGAAGAAGATTCATGAAGGCAAGGGCCAGAAGCCTCACCAGAATCTGTGCCAGAAGTTGGACTGCTGTTCAGAATGGTCACCTGCATATCAGTCATTTAAAATATTTCCTGTGCTTATGTTTGCAAATTATAGAAAATTATTACAACCAATCAAAACTGACATGTCATTTAAAAACTTGCAGAAGAAGCCCAAAATACCAAGCAATAAGCATATAAAACAGCAGATGAAGTCACATGTCAGTAAATGCAATGCAAAATTCACAGTGGGAGAGACAACTCTAAGCTATTTAATCCCACTACCAGAAACAGGTCTGGTAGTCTCTGAACATGTGTCTTCAAAAACATTTCTTCAGTGCTTTGAAGTAGTCAGGTTAGGAACCATTCATTACATCAGACATTTTTTTTTTTCATGAAGGGAAGAGAGGACATAATATATTCTTATGCTGCTGATACTCTCATGGTGTTCCTACACCTTCAAATTACTCTATCTCAGGAAGAATGTAAAGCATCAAAAAAAATATAGGTAACACTGATCATAGTACAGAACAACTTCTGCACAAAGAAAGTAAAGAGAAATTTTTAGTTCACAAAACATAAGACAGGGTGTCACATCAAAGTACAAGGAAAAAAGTAATCATGGTAGCACAAAGTGATACGATATGTCAGATGCCTGAAGTATTTCCCAGAAAAACATGAGAACATCAAATGAAATTTTCAGAAGTTGGTCTTAAGTACTTCTTTACCTAGTGAATAATTAAATAAGAGAATTCAATGTCTGAAGACATTTCCAAGACCAAGAAACAAAGAGTTTCAAAAATTACTATAAAAAAAAATAATTAAAGAAAAAGATCCACTGAACAGCAGAACTTCCATCTCAAGATGTCTCTAAACTGTAAAAGAAGTAAAGGAACTGTTACTTTATGTTTATACCAACAGCCTCCTTTTATGTGACAGTAGCAAGTACTGAGCTAGATTGATTTCACTCAATCCTGTACAAAGATCCTCACAAAATGCACTCTCGCTTCCTTATCCCTGCAGCTGCATGAAGAGCACAGTTCTATCTAGCAGCTCTTGCAGCTGTGAACTTATTAAAAATACATGCAAAAAAGAAGCAGTAAGCTCCATCAAAGAATAGGATATGGGGGAAAAGAAAAAAAAAAAAAATAAATGCTAAAAAAAAAAAAAAAAAAACAACAACACAACGAACAGATAGAAGCCCAGAAAACAACTCTCAGACCCTCTGACCAGAATTACAAGACACAATGTTTTCTGGACATTACCTGTTTTAATTGTTTTCACACACGCAACTAATAGTAACAGACACGATGGAAGTAAATCATTAACAATCATAGAATCACAAACTCATAGGATGGTTTGTGTTGGAAGGAACCTTAAATATCATCTAGATCCAACCCCCTTGCCATGGGCAGGAGCACCTCCCACTAGAACACATTGTGCAAGGTCCCCTCCAACCTGGTCTTGAACACATCCAGCAATGACGCAACTTCCCCGGGCAACCTGTTCCAGTGTCTCACCACCCCCACAGTGAAGAACTTCTTCCTAATTTCTAATCCAAATCTACCCTTTACCCCTCATGCTATCACTACAAGCCCTTCTAAAAAGTCCCTCTCCAGCTTTCTTGAAGGCGCCCTTCAGATGCTGGAAGGCTGCAATCTGGTCTCCGTGCAGCCTTCTCTTCTCCAGGATGAACAACCCCAACTCTCTCAGCCTGTCCTCACAGGAGAGGTGCTTCAGCCCTCATCATCAAGTGGCCCTCCTCTGGACCTGCTCCAACAGGCCCACGTCCTTCTCATGTTGGGGATTCTAGAGATGGACACAGTAAAGGCGCCCTTCAGATGCTGGAAGGCTGCAATCTGGTCTCCGTGCAGCCTTCTCTTCTCCAGGATGAACAACCCCAACTCTCTCAGCCTGTCCTCACAGGAGAGGTGCTTCAGCCCTCATCATCAAGTGGCCCTCCTCTGGACCTGCTCCAACAGGCCCACGTCCTTCTCATGTTGGGGATTCTAGAGATGGACACAGTATTCCAGCTGAGGAGCAGAGCAGATGGGGAGAATCACCTCCCTTGACCTGCTGGCCATGCTTCTTTTGATGCAGCCCAGGATACAGTTGACTTTCTGGGCTGCACTCACGTACAGTTGGCTGATGTTGAGCTTTCCATCAACCAGCACCCCCCAGTCCTTCTCCTTGGGACTGCTCTCAATCCATACTCTACCCAGCTTGTATTTGTGCTTGGATTTGCCCTGACCTTGGTGCAGGACCTTGCACTTGGCCTTGTTGAACCTGGCCTGTGCAGACAGAGGAGGGAAGAATACTGACATGGGACTGA